AGGAACAGAGCTTGTGCTCAGGTCCCCGGGTCTCTCAGCTGGCAGCCAGCCCCAACCCATCAGCCTGGCAGGTCCTCTGAAGTCATTCTCTGAAGTCACCCAGGGCTGCGAGCGCATGGAAAATAGGTGAGCTTTTTATAAAATATTACCCAGTTATTTTTATGCACTTAATATTATTTTCAGCTTATTCTTTTGCACCGAGTTGTCCAAAGAAACAGAATGTGAACCACACAATTTTACATATTAGAGTCGCCACATAACAGAAGTAAAAGAACAGTTGAAATTAGTTCTGGGTTTTTCATTAAGTTGATTTCATGAATCTTAGTTCCAAGGTGTTATACTTTCAGTAAAGTACTGTCACTGTCACTGTCACAGTCCTCCCATTGTTCATCGATTTGCTCGAGTGGGCCCAGTAACGTCTCCATTGTGACAATTGCTACTGTGTTTGGCATATTGAATATGTCAGTAAAGAACAAAAATAAAAATTGTTCACAAGATAGTTTGCTTCCTTTTTGGGGGAACCACACCAGGCAATGTTAAGGACTCCCACCTGACTCTGTGAGGGGTCACAGCTTGAGGTAACTTGGGGTACCATACATGGCGTTAAGGATTGAACCAGGGCCAAGTGCATGAAAGGCAAATTTTGTAACCCCTGAACTATCTCTGAGGTCCCCTCTTTTTTAAAAAAAATTGCAATTACAATCCCATCTGAGTTCAGACTCAATTCCAAATCCTTAATCGCTGAACACAGAAAGCACAGTTTTGGAACAAGAGAATTTAAAGACAAACAACTGCATCCTGGCCCCCATCTCCCAGAGAAGGACACTGAGGCACAGGCAGGTGATGATTTATGTTGAAAGTGGGTTGAATAAGTGGTGTTCTCCACCCCCAACATATACGTGCTTTAATTCCCAGAAATGGGAAGCCTGGGAATTTGGTCACCATATTTGGGGGAAAAAAAGAATATTTGTGGATGTTATTCAGTTAAGGATCTTGGGACAGGAGATTGTCCGGGATCATCTGAGCCCTAAATCCGATGATCAGTCCTGGGAATAGAGACACAGAGAAGATTAGACGGAGGGGAAGCAGATACGAGGATGAAGGCAGGGATGGGAGTGGTGAGGCCATAAGCACAGGAACCCAGACTTGGAAGGGGCACCGAGGAGACAACTTGATTTCCATCTTTTTGTCTCCAGAAACCAAAAAGGTCACCTTTTAGTTACCACTTAGTTTTGTGACTATTATTTTTTTTTAAAGGTGACCACAGAAAACAAAACAAGTTTGAAGCCAGACTTAGAGACCTGGAATTCCATTCCCAGGCAGAGAAAACTCCTTACCACCTCTGAAATCATCCATGTGGCCATTATTCATTCCTTTAGAAACGCGGCTGGACCACCTGGATTTCTGGGGACGGAGAGGCCCAGATGCGATGTGTAGGGAATCCTGCCTTTCAGCTCCAGCCAGCTCTCAGCTTTTGTCTTCACCATTTGCCGTGTCTACTCAAAAGATCTCAGCTGCTCTTCCTGAATCAACATGTCCCTCCTTCAACCTAATGTTCCACATTCTGGGAAATATTAAAAAAAATTCTAAGTCATATCAGACCACTCCCATGCTCTCAGCCCTCCAGGGATTTATAACTCACAGGAGAGAAATTCAAGCTTCTTATCAAGGCTCCTAGGTCCTGCCTGCTTCCAGCCTCCCCCAGTCCCATCCCTCTCCTGGTGGCACATGGGCCAATAGCCTTTGTGCTTCTCCAACGTGCTTAGCACATTTCTCGCCCAGGCCCTTGGAACTTGCCTTTGCCTCCTATGGAATATTCCACAGATGAGAGCACTGTGGCTCACGGCTGACTTGTCTCAACTGTCTTCCTGTCCTAAAGGATTTCTCTGGCCACTCATTTTTCATTTCTTTGCCGTGCTTCATTTTTCTAAACAGTATGAATGGATCCCCACAGTTCTGTAGATTATTTTTTTGGACTGTCTTCCCCACTGGATTGTGAGTACAAAAAAATAGAGTCAGATCTGTTGAGCTTAATGATATATAAACCAATACGTAGCAGGTGCTTAATACATTACATTAAACAGTCGATGAACCAGCAAGGAGGGATGCAGGTTCCATGGATTCCTATCTTGTTATTTATTTATTTATTTATTTATTTTTAAAGAAATTAGAACGTGACTTGGTACAGCGGGTTGGGCGTTTGCCTTGTGATCCCCTGAGCACTGCCAGGAGTGATTCCTGAATGTGGAGCCAGGAGTAACCCACACTGCTGGGTTACTCCCCAAGCACACGCACACACAAACAAAGAATCTGGCTATTTAGGTAAAATTGTTCCAAACATGAACCCTCACTCTCAAATTCTCTGCCTGGCTTTAAAAAAATGTATTCAAGTAGCACCAATTCGAGACTTCCCTTTCTTACTAGGACGTGAGCTCCACGGGAATCGTGTTCCTCCTCAGAGGGTATAACCTCTCCGGGAATGGTGTGATTCTTTGAGATACACCCACCCTCCGACCCCAAAGCCCAAACTCTCGGAAGCACTGTTTGTTGTGTCAGGCCCACGTCATCCAGAGTTGCTTTGTTCCAAAGGCAGGAAGTGGGCTGCAAGCTCCAGGTCCTGGATTCAAAGGAAACTTTCCTTTGGGGGCACTGTCTCCTGGGAAGTCTTCCCCAGTCTCCTCGGAGGGGATGGGGCCCCGAGCAGGACTAATAATAGCCAGGCGCGTCCAGTTTCCCCAACATGTCAACCTTAAAAGAGAATGCTATTTTTTCCCTCATTACCTTGGAATTACTAGGTAGGGGAGGGGCGGGCTATTATTACAGCCATCATTCTCCACCTGCCACCTACTAATGACTTTCCACTCGGCAGCTTTCAGGCAAAATCGCCAGAGTGGGGCCCGCGCTTTATGAGGCAGAAACCGAGTGTGCCTTGCTCCACTCCATGCTGCCCTCTTTGCCCCTGCTCTCCCCGGGATGCTTTGCTGACAGGCTGGCCTGGCCACTGAAGGGCAGCTTCCTTGTGCTCCTCCACGATGGAAGTTACAGGCCAGAGCCAGAGCGACAGCGCAGTGGGTAGAGTGCTTGCCCCGCACGTGGCTAACCCAAGTTCGGTCTCCAGCACCCCTAAGGGTCCCTTGAGTCCCTCCAGGAGTGATCCCTGAGCACAGAGCTACGAGTAAGCACTGAACACAGCCTCGTGTGGTCTAAAAAAAATAACAGCAAAAAGCAAAAGTACCAGACAATCACTCAGTACTCTTCTCCTCCTCCTCCTCCTCCTCTTTCTCCTCCTCCTCCTCCTCTTCCTCCTCCTCCTCTTCCTCCTCCTTCTTCCTCCTCCTCTTCCTCCGCCTCTCTCCATGGTTGCTCTGGAGGATGGAGGTGAACCCACTCAGTGATGCTCAGGGACCACCAAAGGTATCTAAGGGGGGTTTGCGAAGGGGTGTGTGTGTGGATGTGGTGCCAGGGACTGAACCCAGAGCCTTGCACATACAAGGCCTATGTTTTACCACTCTGAATGAACCCTGAGCCACAACCCTCCACCTTCACCTTTTTCACCACTCTTGTTCAGTCACTGGTTCTTGCCTAGCTCTTAGGAGGGTGGGGCCCTGACTCTGAGCTTGGTGCCAGCCAGGTGCCTGCTCTCAGGCTGTGGTGAGGGAGTTTGTGACATCGTGCAGTGTGCAGGCTCCACGTGTGGGTGCAGTGCTGCTGCTGCTGCTGCTGCCGGTGGGGAGATAATTCGGATGCAGCTCAGATGGGGCTCGAACTCCCACCCCACCGAGTGACTCATTCCAACAATGACCTCCGCACCCTTCCCCTTCTCTCCAGGAGAGAGCCCCGGCATGGTGTCCGCTGGGGGACCGACTGCCTTTCAGCGGCTCATGCTTCTGGCCCCCTCTGCCCCTCTCTCTTCCGAACAGATTCAAGCAAGCTCGAAATGCTCTCCAGGCCAGCGGACCGCGTCTGCGGAGACCCACGGACATCTCTTGCTGTTCAGACTCGGAAGCCAGATGGACTTTTTATTATTAATTATTATCATTATCATTTCTTTCCGACGGGGTATACAAATAGGGCCCAGACTGGGCCGGGCCGTGGGAGTCTAGGAGCCGCGGAGCGCATCTCCTTCCCACCTTGCAGCCCGTTTCCCGGTCTCCACGCAGTCGGCGTGGAGGGATGGACTGACGGAGGGGCGAGGGCGCTCTCGACCCAGGGGTCGGGAAGCAAAACCAGGACGGCCCTCGGAGGTGCAGTTCGAGAGAGAAAAACGAAGGTCGCTCCTCCCCCGCCTCTGCGGTACGTGTGCACGTAAGTGTGGGCAAGTGTGCGGGGCCACGGGCCTTTCGGGATGAGTGACAGCGGGACTCCATCCCTCCAGCAGATGCGGGCGGAATGAGCAAGGGACGGACAAGCGGTGGAAGGGTACCAGGGTGCGGACACCGGCCTCCAGGCTGGAAAACCGTTGCGCCCCCCTGCCCTCACCCTCCTGCCCCCGCCCGGGGCTCTTGGAGTCTCCGTTCCCTCGCGGGGTCGGGGGAGCCCTCCAGGTGCTCCGTCCCTCCACGCCCCCCACTCCGCCGAGAGTCCCGCCGCCGGGTCGGGCTCGGCTCGGCCGCCCCGCGAGGGTGTAGCCTCAGGACCGAGGGTTTAGCTCAGTCCCCGCGAGCCGCAGCGCTGCGGCGGCCGAACGGTGCGCCCGGGCCGCCGCGCCGCCGCGGGGCGCCCCTATGCAAAGCAGCTGGCGGCGCGGGGGCGGGCCATGCAAACGAGGGAGGCGGGGCCTCCGCGGCGCGCCCCTATGGCCGAGCTGCTGGCGGCGCGGGGGCGGGCCATGCAAATCGGGAGGCGGGGCCGCGGCGCGGGCCCCGCCCCCGCCCCCGCAGCTGGGGGCCCAGCGGTGCGGGCGCAGCTGGCCGAGCGCGGCAGCTGCGCCGAGTGACAGCCCCGCTCCGCGCGCCGCGGCCGCCCGAGCCGGCGCAGGGGGTCGCGCCCGCTACCGGCCGCCCGCCCGCCCGCCCGCCCGCCGGCCCCGGGCCGCCGCTCCCGCGCGCAAGATGGCTGACCCGGCTGCGGGGCCGCCGCCGAACGAGGGCGAGGAGAGCACCGTGCGCTTCGCCCGCAAAGGCGCCCTGCGCCAGAAGAACGTGCACGAGGTGAAGAACCACAAATTCACCGCCCGCTTCTTCAAGCAGCCCACCTTCTGCAGCCACTGCACCGACTTCATCTGGTGAGCGCGCCGCGCCGCGCCGCACCTGCCCGCGCGCCCCCCGCGCGCCCCCCGGCCGCCCGCGCGCTCGCCGCGGCCGGACGCCCCCGCGGCTGCCCCCGGACGGCTCGCCCCGCCGCCGCGCTCGCCCCCGGGCCCCGGGGCGCAGGGTTCCGCGGGCCTCCCGCCCCCTTCCGGGCTCCGGGCGCCCTCACCCCTCCCGCCTTTCCGGGGGCAGCGCCCGGGTGTCCTCTAGCGCCCCGCGGCCGCCGCGGGCCCCCCTTCCGTGCTCCGTGCTCGGGGGGCCGGGCGGGGGCAGCGTCCCCCTCCCGGGTTCTCCTGACGGCGCGCCCCAGTCGTCCTCTCCGCACGCCTCTCCTCCTGCGGGCACCTGCGCCCCTCCCTGCCCGCATCCCGTCCCCCCAAGTGCGGAGCGTCCGCGCCTCCTCCTCCTCCCCCGTCCCCCACGACCAGGGACTCCGCATCCTCCCGCGGGAGGCGTCTCGGTCTCTCCCTCCCGCCCGGGGTCCGCGGGTGTCCAGGCGGGGCACCTCCCGCCTCGCCTCTGCTCCGCGCCCCTACCCCACCACCTCCGGGCGCGCGAGCTCTCCCCACTTCCCGCCGCCTGGTGGGCGCAGTCCCCCCACCTCGCCACCGCCTCCCCCTTTCTGCTGTTCTGCCTCCTGAAGGGCCGTGGGGCAGGGGGGACCGCCAAGCCCCCCTCCCCCGCAGGCGCGAGACTTGGTGCGAAGCTCCTGGGCGTCCGCCTGTGGCTGGGGGGTTCGGGACTGGGGCTGGAGAGGGGGCGCCCGGGGGGTGGTGGGGACTGGGGCGGGGTCCTCCTGGGGTGCCTGATCTGGCTCCTGTGTCTTTGCAGGGGCTTCGGGAAGCAAGGATTCCAGTGCCAAGGTAGGCTGCGCGCGGCTGGCGGGAGCAGGTGTGGGGGGGGAGACTTTCTAGAAGTGGCTGGGCCCTCAGGGACGGAAGCAGGTCTTCGGAAGCCCGCCGCGCCCGCCCCGCCCTCGGCCCACGCCAGGCTGGGGGCTGTCTCTCGTGGGGGGCGGGGACCTTGCAGGGCATTTGATTCTGTGGGGGCTCCATCCCGGAGAGCCCGAGGAGCTGCCCTCACCCCACGCAGCTGTTCCCGGGGACCCCCTCCCGCCAGAATTCCCACTCCCGTGGGAACTGCTCCCTCCTCTTCCGGGGGCCCCTGGCCGTTGTCTCTGCAGGTGGCTGCACCTCTGCAGATGGCCACTGTGGGTGTCCCCGGGGCCTCCCCCCTCCCAGACCGAGGTGGTTCCAGCTGGGGTGCCTCTCAGATCCTGCTTTCAATCACCCTTTCTCCCTTCTGGCTCTGTCCAGGAAGCCCTGGCTCCAGATGACCGTTTGCTATGTCCTGGCCTGTCAGGGCTGAGCTCTTTTGCTCTACCCAGAGATGATTAAACCATGGACAGAAACTCTGCCTGAGACTGGACATCCCAGGGAAGGTGGCCGGGACTGCCTCTGGCTGGGAATTGGTTTTCCAAGGTCACACATCCCCCGGAGCTTGTGTTAGCTCTCAGGGTCTCTGAAGTAGTTTTCATTTCGAATTTGACGGGCGATTTCACATTCACAGTTGAATCTCCAGCTTCACCTCGGTGGAGAGCTGTTCTCGCTCTCCTGCTGGGTTAGTTGTCCAGCACCAAGATCCTCTGATTTCGTGGACAGGACAGATGCACATTCACTATTTGGTTAGGCCTGAGCCACCCATTTCTGGCCCCTGCTGACCTTTGAGTTTGCATCCCTGGAACTCAAAAGTCATCCCTGCACCCTCCTCAATTTTGAAGACAGGTATGATTGAGTTTGTTCGGAAAAGTCCCTTTTCTGGGCGGTGACTTTGGGGCACATGGCCCGCCCTGGTGAGTGGGATTGAGATCGGAGCGGAAAGCATTGGAGCAGGAAAGATTCTAGATGAGGGCCACTGCCTGCCGTCCTCCATCCTCGGCACCATGAAGAGTCTGAGGTGTGACAGCCCTGACCGCGGTTCTCTGGCCCTCTGGGAGAAGTTAAAGTAATTCCAGTCAGTCACACAGCGCGCCCGCACCACGGATCCCTGTCATTTGAGCCACCCACCTTGCTCTTGCCTGAGACCTGGGGTCTCGGGGGTGATTGATTTAGTGGCAACATTCTACATCCTGGGATAAACACCAGCTCGTTTCCTAGAATTGTTAGGTCCAGTCTGTTAGATCGCTTCCCTCACCCTTCCACGGACTGGTATCTGTCTTTGTCTCATGGGGGTTGAGGGGTGACTTCTGAACTTTCTCCCTGATACTTTCCTTTGCCATCTGGTTGGCTGTGGCTTCTGTTTGGGAGGGTCCCCTGCCTCGTGCAGGTGATTTGACCTGTGAAGCAAAAGACCCTTTTGCTTGGGACTTGGAAAACGAAAGCAGTTTTCCGGTGTAGTGAGTGCAAAGCAGAACTAAGATTTGTCACGAAAGATGGCCTCTTTAGGGGGCAGGAGTTCCTATTTTTGAAAAATCTACCTCTCCCGCCTCTCCCCAAGAGGTCACGGGGGTGGTGGGCAGATAACAAATATCAGGTGGGCCCCCGATGCTGCGAATCCTGCTCTGGAGCCCACCCAGCTGCTCATTGTAAGCAGACCCCAGTTTCTACCTTGATCACACGGGGCCGCGTGATCTATCTTTCCACATTGCTGCGGTGTCTAGAACGTGGCCTGGACAAGAGCTCAGCAGAATATATGCTCAGCAGGCCACAGCTCTTGGATATGCCTTGAAGACCCCAGCAGTTGAGGGGGCCTGGCTTTGTTGGGGGCTTTACTATTGCTAGGGGATCAGACAGTAGGTGCGAGTCCCAGTCCAGCTGTGACCATATGGTCACTCTCTGTCCCTGCTTTGACAGTGCGTCCCCTTTGGGCTGGTGTGGGGGCGAACAGGGGCAAGGGGCTGATGGGCAGCTCCTGAAAAGGAGGTTCGTCCCGGAAATGGGGAAGGGGTATCCAGCCACAGATATGCTCAGAGTGACCGGCCTGGCCTGGCAAGCATTAAACGTGTATCTTGCTGGAGTATTTTGGGTACCAGGTAATTCCTCTGAAAAGAAACCGAATTGAGATGGAATCAGCATCTCAGAGAAAAGACATCAGGGCTGATGGTCTCATCTAAGGCAGAAGCCCAGAGCCCAGGTCTCTTTGGGCTGCCTTTATGCCTCGTCATTGCATCCTCGTCAGCCAGTAGAAGGAGAAAAGGTCGTATGTGGGTGGTCACTTTATGGATGCTGCTACGAGACACCCCTGCCTGGATGCTGTTCGCTGGAATAGGAGGCCACCCCAGGTGCCGCTCAAGCCCTCGTGGTGAGGCAGCTCCAAGGCCGCCATGTTCCCTGGTAAAAGCTGGGCTGGGGCTGTTTTGTACCAAAAGTAAAAGGGGAGAAGATAGAGGGGCGGGAGGGACATCCAATGACATTCTTAGGTCAAGGGTGTCCCAGAGTCCCCATGCACCCGAAGTCTTGTCAGCATGGACCTGAGGAAGGGTGAGAGAAGAAGGAGATTCCTAGTCTATAAGCCCTGGGGAATGATGTGCTCAGGGTTGCTTAAGAAGAGATTTTTGGGTTTTGGTGGAGGGCTTTTTAGGATGATGCTCAGGGGTTCCTCCTGGCTCTGCACTCAGGAATTACTCTTGGCAGTGCTCAGGGGACCCTATGGGATGCCAGGGATCGAACCCAGGTCAGCCACGTGCAAGGCAAACGCCCTACCCGCTGTACTATGGCTCCAGCCCCAAGAAGAAATTTTCTTTCTCTTTTCCTGTTAAAGGACCAAACTGGAGACTGCCGGTCAGCTTCCCCTCCCTTTTCGTTTTGCACCCTCTCTTTTCTATGAAACCATGCTCTGCGAGGTCGTTGAAAAGTGTCTCTGAGGTCAGGGCTCTGGGTGGAGGACCGCCATTATGAAACTGCCAACACTCGGGAGGAGAATGAAAAAATAAAGAGGAATCGGAAAGTAGATCAGCAAGCCTGGCTTTTCTCAGAAGCATTCTTTAGAGGAGGCTAGAACCTCCATTTGTGCTGTAAGAGTAATTAAGACAAGCTATTGGGTGGATTAAATTCTTACTCCAACAAGCTTTTTTCAGTCAGGCATAGAAAAATGTTTTATTTCATTGTTGCTTTGGGGCTGTACCTGGTGGTGCTCAGAACTTACTCCTGGCGGGGCTCAGGGGACCATGTGCAGTGCTGGGAAACAAAGCAGGTCTACTGCATGCAGAGCAAGAGCCTCCCCCCTTCTGTTACCTCCCTGGCCCCTATATTTCTTTATTCCTTCACAAACGTCACTTCTACGGAAGTAGGGAGGGACTAAAATACAGAGATTCAGAATTCGTAGCCTGGGGTTGGACTCAGGATTGGGATCTCTGTTCTGCCACTTTCTCTCTTGGGTAAGCCCTTTACTGGTTGGTTAGTTCATCTGTAAAATGGGACCAGGTGTCCATATCTCCAAAGGTTCTGATGAGTAATGATGGGGTGCAAGAGAAATACTCCCAGGAGGGAGGCCTCGGTGACTCTAAGTGAGATGATCATTATTACTTTATTCGCTGTAGGAAATTATGTGAAGGGAGCCTACTGAATTCTGGAACTCATTAAATGACTGCGCCTCTTTCGTGTCCTAAGCTGAAGTTCTCAGGTACTGCTTCAGAGACTTCAGTGAGGCTGAGCCCAGACAGAGGCTTCTTTGGAGGGTCTTTTCTCCCTGTTTCCTCCTGGAGAAGACCCCAGATTGCCACGGACCCTTGAGATAAAACATAGGGCATGGATGTTCTGAGTATGAAGCGCTCAGATTGATGATTAATTGATGATTCTAATGACTAAACCGGCTCTTCCCTTTCCTGTGCAGAGTCAAAAACATGTTTTTAACCTTCTAACTCAAATGAAATTCTTAAAAATCCTCCAAACACCACACGAAGCCAACCATTGCAGTTCCCATCAGCACAAGTGCTAGAGCCTACAAATTAATTTTAGTCTGTAGCTCACACATATAGATTAGAATCTGCATTTTTCTAACAAAGATGAATCAAAGGTTAATTTTATTTTTGGCGTAGTGTTCTGTATGAAATTATAATATGTATTTCTGTACTTTGAGCTGAGCTTTCTCAGTAAAATCATGAAGATGGTCTTCCTCCCTCCCTCGCTCCCTCTTTCCTTCTCTCCTTCCTTCCTCCCTCCCATCTTTCTCCCTCCCCCTCTCCCTCCCTCCCCCTTCCTTTCCTCCCTTCCTTCCTTCCTTCCTTCCTTCCTTCCTTCCTTCCTTCCTTCCTTCCTTCCTCCTTCCCTCCCTCCTTCCCTCCTTCTTTCTTCCCTCCCTTCTTCCCTCCTTCCTTCTCCCCTCCCTCCTTCCTTCCTCTCTCCTCCCTTCCCTCCTTCCTTCCTCCCTCCCTCCTTCCCTCCTTCCTTCCTTCCTCTCCCCTCCCTCCTTCCCTCTCTCTCCCTTCCTCCCTCCTTTCCTCTGTCCTTCCCTCCCTCCTTTCCTCTCTTCCTTCCTTTTTTCCTTCCTTCTTGCCTTTCTTGCCTTCTTCCTCCCTCCCTTCTTTTCTCTTTTCCTCCCTCTCTTCTTCTCTTCCTTCTTTATCTCTCTCCCCTCCCTCCCTCCCTTGTTCACCTCTCTCCCCTTCCTCCCTTTATCATCCTGACACCTGTAAGTAAATCTTTACTCACTCTTTGACTTGTTCCTAATGTCCTGGGTGTTTCTCTGTTGGAACAAAAAGGCAGAGCCTTTGTGACTTTATGTTGGATAGTTTGCCTCATTTTTTCCATCTGGGATTTCAGGTCCACAGTTCCCATTGAAGTAAGAATCTATGAATTCACGGTGGGTTTCTTTTCTTTTTATAAAGGAGGGTTTTGTTGAGGTGGCAATAGCACAATAATTTTGA